TTTCTAGTTGATCTCCATAGATGTGGAACATAAAGGGTATTTTAGGTATTTTGAATATCTGTTGTATTTGAGGTATCTGAAGTAGAAAAAGGAGTTGAAATGATTGTTGATTCATCAAATATTGGTGCTGGTATGTAAGTTGGTGTGTTGGTTGAAATAATTTGACTAAAAGTCAATAAGAAAAACTCATCTTCAAAATATTTCACATTTCTTGATACAAAAATGTGATTTGTGTCAATATTCATTAACTTGTATGCTTTTTGACAATGTGGTTACCCCAAGAAAATACACTTCTAAGACCTTGGCATGAATTTATCTATGGATATATGATTAGTTGAAGCATAACATAAGCATCTTGAAACATCCCAAAAATGCAAGCCAAAAATTTCGTTTTTAAAACATTAATAAAACCATAAATCATCCATCATCATAATAAAAGTCAAGAATCATGTATCTCGAAAATATCATATCGAAAGTTGTATCAAAATCATGTAAGTAATCATCAGAGTCTAAAATAATCCCAGGTTGAAACTGTGGTGTGTGCATGCGATCATCCTGAGCCCTTTTCTTTGCTGGTGGAAGTACCTGAAACCAAGCTACCACATACTATACACATAATCACATATTGGGCCTAGACCACTGCATCGGGCCCCGCCCGACATCGGGCCCCGCCCGACATCGGACAGAGGTCCGACATAACGTGGGCCTCATCCCTGCATCGGGCCCCGCCCGACATCAGACCGAAGTCCGGTATACATATCATGAGCATAACATAAACATAAATATAGACATAAGCATAAAAAGAAAGCTAACATTCCTCGGGCTTGCCTCGACATTAGAACAGAGTCCGGAACACATAATCATACACATGCAAGAATCACGAAGACATCAAGCGTACTAACTGCATCGGGCCCCGCCCGACATCAGACCGAAGTCCGGAACATAAAACCTACATCGGGCTAACCCCGACACATACAATCACACATAAACGGGTCGGCCTTGGTGCCTTAGACCCGTTCCTATAGGAGAAGACTCACCTCTCAAACTGAATGCTGAACTCGAGTGAGGAATCCCTGTCCGTTGCTCCGGCGACTCTCCGGCTATAAATTCCATAATAACACTTAGGGTAAAATGACCATTTTACCCCTGGTCAAGTCAACGCTCTGGTCAAAGTCAACATTCTGGATTGACCAACTCGCCGAGTCAACCTTTCGACTCGCCAAGTTCTATAACTCAGAAATCCTGAAATCACGACTTAACTCGCCGAGTCGCTCCACCGACTCGTCGAGTCCTATCAAGCTGTTCGGTCGCGACTTGGCTCATCCACTCGTCGAGTTCCACTAACTGAGATCGGGACATCACGAAACGACTCGTCGAATCCTTCTGTCTGTTTAGCCATCTTAACAAATTAAGCCCCTATCTTCTAGATCCATTGTCCTTAGCTCGTTTGCCCACTAGAAAGGCCTTTCTAAGAGTAAAGTTTCCAACTTTACCCGTTCATAACCCTCCTAAAATGGTTTAGACAAAACCCTAATTCCTATATGACATGAATCTAGTCCAAAAAGGCCATAGAGTCTCAAATCCATGCATACAAACCTAGATCTAGGGTTTTAGCATCTGATGGACACATAAAGTTTCGAACTTTCCTTCCATGCATGGCCTTTTAGGGTTTCGATAATAGGGTTTAGAGGTGATGGAGACTGGAATGGAGGCCAGATATGATGCTTAAATAGGGTGCAAACCCTAAAGATTAGGGTTTCATCCAGCCTGTCCTACTCGTCGAGTCAGAGCTGTGACTCGACGAGTAGCTCATTTAAACCCCGCGTCCAAACAGCCTTCTACTCGACGAGTCAGGGTTACCAACTCGTCAAGTCTTTCATTCAAGATAAATAATTAAATAATTAAACGCGTACCAGGGAACCGGACGTTACACATCTAAAGAGTTTTAAGCATGTAAGGTCAGGTTGTTGCTTGAATAACACTTTATATGGACTGCTGTTGTCAAGAAATTTTATTGGCATTCTGTTTATAAGATGCACAACTGTCTTTATACATTCACCCCAATATGCATTTCCAATACCAGATTGAAAATAAAATGCACTAGCTGTTTTTAAAAGATGTCGATGCTTCCTCGCAACCAAGCCATTTTTTTGAGGGGCATTAGGTATAGATTTATGATGAATAATACCACATGACTTAAAGAATTCTTGACCTTCATTACTTGAGCCTAACTCAAAAGCATTATCACTCCCGATGATTTTAACCATAACACCAAATTAAGTGTGAATGAGCTTCATAAACTCCTTGATTAAAGAGAATGCATTGACTTTATGTTTAAGCAAATGTATCTATCTATATATATATATATATATATATATATATATATATATATATATATATATATATATCTTCTGAAAGCGTCAACTATTGTGATGAAATACTTATTTCCATCATGAGTTGGGTATTTGTATGGACTCCAAACATCAACGTGAATCAAATCCAATGAGTTTTTGGTTTGAGTAATGCTTTTTGGAAATGACAATCTATGTTGTTTAGCTTTAAGACATACAAGACAAGAATCAAGTAAATGATTGTCACAATTTGAAGGAATAAGCTTCAATTGTTTGAGTTTATTAAGAGGCTTATGACCAAATCGTTTGTGCCACAATTGAACATCAGATGAAACAGAAAAAACACTACAAGTTTTGAATACAGAAAAACTAAAACTGAATGACAAAAATCTTGAATTTCATGATGATCTAAGATATAAAGGCTGTTAATGCATTTCCTAAAAATGCCTAGAGCAAGATTACTCTTCGACAAAGGGTCCTACAACAAACGACTTTCATCAGTGAAGAGAATACAAGTGTTCAAATGGGAAAGAAGTTTGGGAATTGAAATGAGATTGTAGTTAAAACAAGGAACATACAAAACATTTGCAATGTAAAAGATTTGTGGAGTTGAACAACACCAAATGAAGCACCAAGAAAACGATAACCATTAGGAAGACCAATCATATGAGCCTGTGAAAGTTTAGTGAGTGACACACATAAGGATTGATTAGAACACATGTGGTCTGTTGCAGCAGAGTCAGTTATCCAAGAATAATGTGTTTTTGGTGATGAAGCGGATTGATACACATTAGCAAAAAATTTCTCAAAACAGAAAGAATTACCTTTTGATTTTAATGATCCACCAGTAACAATAGAATTTGATTGACTTATTGAGGAAGAAGCATGCGTGTTGTTGTTGATAAAAAGTTGAAGAAGATGTGGATACTGATAATGTGTAATAGACGGAGATGTAATAGCACTGTTAACCACCATGTGAGTATTAACTCTAGCAGGTTGTTTGTATGCCTCATGTATATATTATAGGTTAATGTATAAAAAATTATAAGCACTTGTTGCCAATATTTTTTCATTGGTAGTTTAATTAGTATTTGTAGGTTCTTCATGGTTGTATCATGTGTTTTGGTATCTGTCATATTCTCTGACATGTTTTTTTGGCAATTTAGTTCTTTGTGTTTTATTGGTGTTTCTGTGTATGCTTCGTGTATGTGCGTTCTTGCTTTTCCAGTTCTATGAGTAAATATGATTGAATTAAATAGGGAAATAAGTCATCGGGAAAAGACCAAATTATACTCATGTGTATTGCAGTTATGATCTTAACGGTTCCATCTTTATGACAATTAGGGTTAAAGAGTAAGAGTGCAACCAAACTACGGATTAAGGACCAAGATTGCAACATATCAATCTTGTGAATTAAATGTGTTATGAAAAGCAAAATCTGGTATGAAAGATATTATTTACTCTAACATATATGTTATATCTAGAAAAAAACTATAAAATGAGTCCCTATGCTTTGCAAAGAAACTATGGATAAAATGAGTCCCTATGCTTTGCAAAGAAACTATGGATAAGGTCTAAATTTTTTTCAAACTTCTACAGAAGATCCAAAATCAAGAAATTCTTATGGTTTTGTTCCCTAAAAGTTTTGAAATGATTGTTTTTCCCTTTTAATTTCTTTTTTAATATTTGGTTTAATACTGGGCTCACCTAACCCACCCCAATGTACCCTCCTCATTCTCGTTCATCTCTTGCCCGTTCTAACATCTCTTCCCTCATCACCACCGACTACATCTCCTCTCTCACCCTCCCACCTCATCCATCTTCACCATCGACCTGCATCTTCTTCCTTATCCCTCTCGACCAACTACCTGCATCATTGGAATTGCCTATTGTGACCTAAAGATTTCACATTTAATATCAGTGAAATTGGAGAGATTAAGCAAAGCTTCAAAAAATGACCTAACATCGAAATCAAAATATGTTCAAGAACCCATAATCATTACTAGAAAACTCCAAATTTAAGAAATCAAAAACCCAAAAACTCAAAAATATCTTCCTCTTTTATTCTTTAATTGTTCTTGGGATTTCAAAAATGGGTTTCGCCTAAAGTGAAACGAAACGCTAAACGAAGGAGAAAATGGTCAATGAAGAACCAAAGATTTGGGTTGATGTTCTTGTTTTTCGATGGCTTCTGTTTGTTGGTGAAAATGAAGCATCTCACCACCTCCCTTTTCTTCCCCCGTAATTTTTTAGAAACCTACCTCTAAATGTTTTACGTTGAATTTGAATATGCATTTGGATTAATATTTGTAGGTGTGTGTGTGAGCTTTTCATCATCGATTTTGGGTTTTACATCATTGATATTGAGGTTTCTGAATTTTCTACAATAGCGACGACTCAATAGACGAGACAGCAGCGGCAACTCAATAGCGGCGACGTGTCGCCGGTAAAGCTATTAGCGGCGACTTTGGTTAGCAATAGCGGCGATATTTGTCGCCGCTAATACCCTTTTTTCTTGTAGTGATCATTGTGTGTGCGTGCATGTGTGTGTTTATGGTTGTGTGTGTTGAAGAATATAAAGTTAGAGAACCCATATGAAGTTCATGCTCCTTAATTTGGAGAGAGAAAGAGAGGGTACGATGGGTTTGGATGGGAGAGGTTTGTTTGTATGCCTATTGTTCCATAAAAACGAAGGGGGTGTTTGAGATTACTTTTTAACCTAAAAAGTCTTTTTTGACAAAATGACTTTTTGACGTATGACTTTTCCCCAAAGGAGTTTTTAAAATGTGTTTGAATTAACTTTTGAGGGGGCAAAATCCAAAAAGTAACCAATTCCTGACTTCTAAAACAACTTCTTTTTCTTGCCAAAAAATAAATCTAAAAATGACTTTTGGAATTGCTAAACATCTTTTTAAACTTTTGGCTTTTTGAAAAAGCCAAAAGTCCAAAAATTCAGTTTGAAAAGTAATCCCAAACACCCTCGAAGCTTTGATTTGGTATGTGTGTGTTTAAATCTATTATCTGTGTGTTTGTATTTTTTTCCCATCTTGTTAATTTGCAGGTATTTGTGTGTGTATATGTGTTTGTGTCAACAAATGAGAAGGATTCTACTGGGTAGGGAGGAACTATGGCAGAGGAATTTGGTGATGGTGTTTGGGATTACATTATAGGGTCGTGCATGGATCGAGAGATAGGGTTGGAGGGATTTTTTTTTTAATTTTAATTTAAAAAAACTTAGATAAATATTAAAAAAATGTAAAAAAAGAAACTATAAGGGCAAAATAGTCCTTTAAAATTGTCCAAGACTAAAACCAAGAGAATATTTTGATTTTGAAGTTTCCATGAAAGTTTTTTTTGGACCATATCCATAATTTTTTGCAAACCACATGCACATATGAGCACAAAAATAGAAAAAGAATACTAAGCTCAACTGGTAATCTATATGGACGATTAATGTAATTGTCTTCACCCGTAGTAACTATCCTATTTAGTAGAACACATGAAAAAGACAATTTTACGATCCAAATAAATTATTATTAATAATGGTAACTGGTAAGCAACACCAATGCAACCTATGTTATAGCTCCATTAAAGAATATTTGATAATAGTCAAAGGACAAACATCACGAATTCTCTTTTATTTGAATGTACAATTTACAACTAAAAGATCATGATTTCATTAACTTTCAAGCTACGCAGTATAATAAGACAACAAAACCTTCTCATCATACAATCATCATCACCAATTAACCATGTCCTATATAAAGAGAAACCATGCAACATTTTTAGCACACAATCCAACCAACTAAAACAAAGAAAAACAAACATGCAAATGGATTTTGGATCCAATATCTCAGTTGCCTTTCTATCCTTGATGCTGACACTGTTACTTGTCAGGAGTTCTAATGCTGGTGGAATCTCCATATACTGGGGTCAGAATGGGAACGAAGGAACTTTGGCAGACACTTGTTCCACAGGAAACTATGAATATGTAAACGTGGCTTTCCTTTCTTCTTTTGGAAGTGGTCAGACTCCTGTTCTGAACCTTGCTGGTCACTGTGATCCGAGTAGCAACGGGTGCACCAAACTGAGCTCAGACATCAAATCCTGCCAAGCAAAAGGAGTCAAGATCATTCTTTCCATTGGTGGTGCGTCTGGGAGCTATTCACTAGCTTCTTCTACAGATGCAAGACAAGTTGCTACTTACATTTGGAATAACTTCTTGGGTGGAAAGTCATGTGCACGTCCACTTGGAGATGCGGTATTGGATGGAGTTGACTTTGACATTGAAAGTGGAGATGGCAAGCACTGGGATGACCTAGCGAAGTACCTCTCTGCATATAGCAAACGTGGAAAGAAGGTTTACTTGACAGCAGCACCTCAGTGCCCATACCCGGATGCATGGCTTGGAACTGCACTTCAAACAGGTGTTTTTGACTATGTTTGGGTACAGTTTTTTAACAATCCACCATGTCAGTATAGTTCGGGAGATATTGAAAGCATTGAGGATTCTTGGAAGCAATGGACTTCTGATATCCCAGCCACAAAGATTTTCTTAGGGCTTCCAGCAGCTCCTGATGCAGCTGGAAGTGGGTTTATTCCTGTTGATGATCTCACTTCAAAGATTCTTCCAGTGATTAAGGGTTCAGATAAGTATGGAGGTGTGATGCTTTGGTCCAAGTATTATGATGATCAATCTGGATATAGCTCTTCCATTAAGAGTCATGTTTAGATGTTCCCTTGTAAAGTTTATTTGTATGTTACCGATGTTTTTATTTAAAAAGATGTGATGAAATATACGTTGACTAGTGGTTGTTCGTAATCTTTGATTTGTTGTTAAATTTTTACATATTCTACTTTCACATGTGCTAACAGATCTGAATCGTTTTAATTTACACACTAATGAGCTTAAAGAAAAGTATGCAAGAAATTAAAATCATGAGGATCGCACGTGTAAGGAAATGGAAAGTTCGACTAAAGTTTTGATTTTTTATAAACTACAAGAATCATTTATGTAATTTTGTCTAAAAAAGAATGATATATTCATTATAACCACAACACAAACTGGTCCCTTGATTGTGTCATGGAGGAGTTCAAAGTATTACCTATAATCAACAAAGAGATTCTTATGAATTCTGAACTTTTTGCATTAAGATTCTTGATTTAACGTCTTAATCTTATTAATCTTTTGAAAGGGTTAAATACACTAAATAACATTTTTTCATTGGTTTGTTTATCATAGCATCCTACTTCCATTCTTCATACTACTACATCACACTTTAACCCAAATATAGCAGTGTCAACTAAATGGCAGTATTCATTGCTAAAGTTATGTAGATTTTTTAAAGTATAATGGTCTAATAAGACAAAAAAAGTCTAGAAATTATAATGCTATGATAGAGTAAACTTAAAAAAGATTTTTTGAGTCACTAGCAAACCAGATTGCAGCTATCAGAATTTCTCTTCCATTTCGACTTAATGGGAAGAATAAAGAAACCATTAACCGATTAAATGTAAACTTAAGCAACAACATCTCCTGATTAGCCAATTATCTTCTTTCGATTCTAAATTCAAGATATATTTACTTTGAAAAAGCACATTAAACACCCCTTTCTACGATCAAATTTGACAGGCATTTGTCGTCTGAAGTAATTTGGGTAATTAGAAATCCAATTAGTTTAGTAATTTCATCAAGTAGAATTAGATTAATTATCCTTTTTTCCCAATAAACTGATTTGGGAATAAAAAATCATGAACTTGAACTACTTCATATGTTTAAATACCTACACATCATACGAAAAAGTAATTACCTTTGATGGCCAAACGAGGATTAGAGTCCAACAATCTGAGAAGCTCAAGCAAAGCAGCCCCATTAGAATACATCTTGAATAATTTCCAGCAATTTTACAAATGAATATTCATCTTTCACATTCTTCATCAATTCATCTGGAAATAGAGTGACCGGCCGGTTTGATTATAGAGGGAAGATCGACTCTTGTGAAATTGGAATCAAGGGTGGTGTTGACAGCGACGACAGTGGAAGAGACACGGTGGCGCTCGGAGGTCGGGTCGTCGAGAACATCTAGGTAACCGTTGTGGTTTAGCCAAAATCTCACAAAGGAAGCTGACTCCACAAAAGTGAAATTAATTTTATTCCCTCACGTGAGGGCCACATTCCTCTCAAGTACCAAAGATGTCCAGAACCCTTCACATGAACCACCCATAATAAACTCTCAATACAAGAACCAAAAGTGAGATTTTAGCCAAACCACAAGGACCAAAATTGTATTTTACTCTAAAAAATTATATGATTCTAAAAGTATGCTAAGAAGCTGTTAAAGGTGAATTGGAAATTTATCCCTTGTCCATATATTTAACAAGTTGTCAAATTACAAGAATTAAAAATACAAAATTTCATTATTAATGCCCTAGTCACCTATTAGACCAAATTGAGTTAATTTAAAGATCATGTAAAAATAAAAACTAAAAACCCACAATCCAAATTGCAAATTCTATGATAATTAATAAATGGTGTTACTATACGTATTCCTTACTTTTATAAAATGTCAAATTATAGGAGGACACACTATTCCACTATTCCACTCACAAAGAAGGATGTATACAAAATAATTCGAGGGTAACTATAAAATTATCCTAAATAAAAAAACCATTACCGGTGAATCTTTGTTTTATCTCTCAGTGAAATAAGAAAGTGTAAAAATCATTGATGTAAATACATAATTTTGAACTAAAATTATATATTATAAAGAGTAAATCTAAAGTCTACACCAACCAAATTCATAAAATTCCAAACAAACAAATTCAATTTCAAATAATAAAACATAAATTTTGAACAAGGCTGGACAAAGTAAAAATGTTCATGGTTTTAACTTTTAAGAAAGCAATTGGCGAACTTGAAAATCAAAATCTTGGCAGAATTGAGAAAATTAATTTCAAATTAAGCTAAGTTGGTTTCAGTGGGCTAACAACACAAACACAATTTCAAATAATAAATCAAATTTTGCTTCAAATAATAAATCTTAAATTCAAGACATTTAAGAAAATCAATTACCTGATGTAAAGTTTAAAATTTAGAAATTTAAGATGAGTGTTTGGTTTAAAAGCTTCTACCTATTTTTGTCAAATATTTATATACAAATAAAAACTCTACATTTCCGCTACCAGCTACAAACTACTGTATCCATTGATATTTATATCTGCAACAAGTTGGAACATAACCCTTTCATCTTGTAAAATAACAACTAACAGAAACCAAAAGGCATATTGTAACCGTAAACAATAATAAATATATGCGTAACAATAATAAATATTCGCGTATTATGTATTTGACCTTGAATAATAAAATGAGTTACATCAGCCTTCCTGCTGTCAAGATATTCACAAATTTGTCTTACATTGGCCCCTAGTATTCGTGATTGTGACACCAGTTTGTCATATATCAAATGGCTACATCAAATTTTACCATGCAGAGTTGTACTATGTGCTTCTTTTGATGTACTCCACATATAACTTTCAAACTTCGTGTATTGGTATTGGTGTTCATATTCCTTAATTTCCCCTAAATGATAAAACCAATGTTACCCCATACAAATTTAAAATTTTACACACAAATATTAAGGGTTAATCAGTACAATTAACTGCAATGAATGTGAACAAATAACTGTTCTTTTAGCTGTATCATAAAAAGAGTCGTTGAGATATGCAAATTGAAAAAAGAATGGTCTCCACTATCTAATCTAGTTCTTTAGTAACATAAGGTCCTTGTTTGCAAAATGTATCAAAGAACATTTCAAAGTGTTTTGTGAAATGTTATATTTATATTCAACGTTTTTTCCATTGTGATTGCTTATTGATTTATTGATTTTTTGAAAAAAAAAACAATGAATAAAAAAAAGGTTTGTCAAGCTCAAAAGTATTTTTCAAAGGAAAATCTGCAAAAATGTCTCTAAAGTTTGGTTCTAATAAGGCAAAAGCCAAACCTGATTTTTATTTATTTATTTATTTTTGCAGTAACCAAAAAAACCGCTAAATACTTAATGCCGGTTTTCTAGGCAAATTGTAAACAAACAATCAATGATGACTTTTTCGTTAACGAAAATGACTTTGGAGGGTAACAAACTATCGGTTTTGTTCATATTTTGTCACTTTTTTTTCCTTATATTCTATTTACCATTGAACTTGTTTTGATGTTCACAAAACCATTGCAGCTTGCTATTGAAGGTTTCTAGTGACTATCAGCTCCGGCGGCTCTCCGGTCATCTTCTCCGGCGAGCCTCCGGCAAACATGAGTTTTCCGGCTATTTCAAACCCACAAAAACCATTAAAACCTTGAAATGAGTTCGATTTTTCAGATCTACAAATTTTTCTTATTCTCTATTTTCAGAATCTACAAAATTTTATTTTCTCTATTTTCCAGCCCCCTTTCTTCCGTTGATGAACCTTCATCAGCTTCAAATTTTGATTTCCATGGCAACTTCGAGTTCAAGTTCATCAAAAATAATTCAGAAATCTTTCAGCTTCGAGTTCAAGTTCATCCGAAATCGTTCAACTTCGATTTCCATGGCAGCTTCAATTTTTTTATACTCTAAGGTTCGATTTGAGGTTGCATTCCATGAATACAATCCAAGGGTTTCTTGAATCGTTCCATGAATAAGAACACGGACCTGATTTTCAATTTCTATGGCAGCTTCGAGTTTAAGTTCTAGGGTTTTATTCCCAAGAACAAGAACGAACTAAGAACACATACATTTCCATATTTTCGATTTGGAATCCCACTGATTTCTTGTATGTTATTCATGTACCAAGGGTTTCTGGAATATTCATACATTCATAGTATTCATATTTTTGCAGATTCAGATTTTTACAAGGATTTCAATTTTCTTGTATATATGTTTTTCAAATTCACATTCATAGTGTTCAGATGTGAAAAACAAGTTTAAGTCACTCATAGTGTTCATCACTTCGCCAGAAAAATCATACATTCGTCGGAAAACTCTTACATTCGTCGAAAAATTCATATTTTTGCCGAAAAACTCATATATTGGCCGGAAAATTCAACTTGACCGGCTAAACCTACAATAGCCGATCATAACAGTCTTTATGAACATAAAAAACAAGTTTAATGGTAAATAGAGTACAAAAGAAAAAATGACCAAATGTGAACAAAACTGATAGTTGGTTACTCTCCAAAGTCATTTCCCCTTTCCTTTAAATGTGGTTAAAGTTTGAAGATTTTTCTAAAGATTTTTCTTATATATACTAAATTAATTTGAAAAAAAAAACTCATATTTATTTATTAAAAAAGTGGAAACTCCCTCCCAAGTCTTATCTTTTACACCCAATATTTTAAAATTCAACAATAAAGTTATCATGTGTCTAGGTGTGAGCATGCGGACCGAACTGGACCAGACCGGTTTGACAGAAATTGGTGGACTTTGGACCGAACCTATTGAGGCAGGTCCATGTTTTTTGGTTCTTGTACCTGTTGGACCAATATAACTTTAGATGCATATGGTACAACTCGTTGAAGCCCTACCGAAAATTAGTTTATCTATTACGACTGTAAGGGTAAGTATTTGGACCGGAACCGGACAAAACCAGTCCAGCTCTTAGACCGGACTCGTTAAGGCTCACCAGGTCCAAGTCCAAGTCAAGTTCCCAGTTCGGTTCAATCCAGTGGTCCAAATGTTCACCCCTAAATGTGACATAAAA